ACCACTTGACCACTTGCCAACCTTCTAGAAGGACTGCAGCTAGCCTTCTAATCTACAGGTCTACGGATCGAATCATGGCTACCTATAGACCTACGACAGACCTACCTACCACTGGCGGTTCTACAGGTCGCAGGTTCAACTCTTCGAGTTGACGCAGGTATTGTACACAGGTAAGTTGGGGAACTAGGGATCGAGCCCTGGGATCTGCCTCAGCTACCACGAATTGGTGAATACCGTTTCAATATTCTCGGAAACCGTAATTATTCTTTTCTGAAAATCGATTTTCCATTCTATCTCGCAATTTTTTGTTGAAAACCGAAATCTTGCGAAGCCTACCAACATTTCGTTAGGCATATTCGGAGGTTGCCATATTCTCAGAAACGGGATTTCGTTCTTTTTTGAAAATCGCATCTTTACTCCATTTCGCAAATTTTTTTTTTCAAGATCGCATTTTGTAAAAGCCGAAACTTTGCGGAAACTAGCCTAGATCTCGTTCATAGTACTCTTTTGACATGTCTCACTCATAGCAGTTCGACAGATATATAAAAAAAAAAGGAAGTAGTCCTCTTTTATATTTTATTTTTTTATCTGTTGATTAGGGCCGGAGGAAAGTATTGTTGGGTTGGTTGCCTACCTACGTTTTCCCTCCCACCCACCCCTTTGCATGCATTTCCGAGTTGGTACAGTGCCACGTCAGCAGTGCCACGTCAGCAACAGTGCCACATCAGCCAGAGTGCCACGTCTGCAGTGCCACATCAGCAGCGCCACGTCAGCAATAGTGCAACGTCAGTAGTGCCACGTCAGCAGTGCCACGTCAGCCACAGTGCCACGTCAGCAGTGCCACATTAGCAGTGCTACGGCAACAGTGCCACGTCAGCAGTGTCCCGCCACCATGACGGGCGCAACTCTGGGCATGCTAGGCCAACTGGCCAACGAGTCTATTGCCGACTACAAACAGCGGTTCCAAACTCTGCTCGCATTGATCGAGGCTGAGGAACAGCGCCAGCTGGCAGCTGAGGCTGCCCGCCTACAGGCTGAAGCAGCGGCAACAATTGAGAAGCAGCGGCTACAGGCCGAAGCAGACGCAGATACCCAGGCACACCGCAAGGAAGCCCAGGATCTGCTGCAGCGGCATGAAGCCGCCAGCATCGAAAGACTCAGGTTCTGGCATTTTCAACCGTCCAACGGCGACGACGCGACACCAGAGGAGCAGCACAGGGAGTTCCTCTCTAAACTCGTGACACAGTTGTTATACGCTTGCAACTACCAACGGTCCGAGTTAGAGACACAAAACCAGGAACTGCAGCAACAGTACCAGGATCTAAAGAAACAGCACCAGGAGTTGGCGAACCTCCGCGGGACAGTGCAGAGCCACGAGGATGCTACACGGGCACTCTATTCCCGTGTACTGGACCTGGAGCAAGCTGCACCAGGACCAGATGCTGGCGAGTCCAGCAGTGCCCCCTCTACCTGCCAACTGGAGGAACGCATCGACCACATTGTCGCAATGCTCGGCGACTCGGCGACATCAGCACCTTCGCTGAGCCGACCACCATCAGCAATCAGCTGGATACCTTGAAGACCGAGGTCCAGCAACTGCAGCTGCCTAACAAGAATGGCAACAACACACAACATTACAAGATGCCAACTTCTCAAATTGAGAAGTTCGATGACTACACGCATCAGGACCCGGTCCTCTGGTGGGAAGGCTTCACGACGCAACTTCGGATTCTATTAGTCGCCAAGCACGCGTACATCGACGCCCTGTTTCTTAACTGAAAGGGCGGATGCCAGGTCTGGTTAACCCACCTGGCAGCCACCCACGGCGTCGACATCGCAGATCTGAAAGACAAGATCTCATGGGAAGAGTTAACACGGTTGTGGAAGAAGCGGTTCATTGTGGATGACGCACCTGCACTCGCCATCAACCGTCTCTTCAACATGACGCAAGGCAACACAACAACACGTGACTGGCCAGAAGATCGCGGCAACGCCCGACCTTGACTTGCCATTTACGCATCTGCGCCGTGAGTTCTACAACAGGTCATGCGCTGCATTGAGCCTTGCTCTTGGTGATCGCGAGCAGTATGCAACCTTCGCTGAGATCATTGACAAGGCGAGGGAGATCATCAAGACCAACAGGGCGGCTGCACACGAGAGGACAACATGGCAGAAGGTGAAAACTGGTCCGCGACAGCAGCAGTTTGCTGCAGTCCAATCGGACAACACTGTGGAAGACCCGACAACCACCCAAGCGTCACGTGAGGGAGATCAGGTGGCTGCTGTCCAGCCGCGAAGCAACAACAAGTCCCGAGGACACGGGAAGGCGAAATCAGCATCTCAGGCCGGAAACGGACAGTCAGCACCATTGAACTTGACCGAGGCCGAGTACAAGTACCTCGGCCGTTACGGCTGCTGTTACTGGTGCAACAGCACCAAGCACAAGACCTCCCTTTGCCAGGATCAGGCCAAGGAGGATGTGCGGCCTCGTCTTAACTCGGGAAACTGAGTTTCGCGGGAGGTGAGGCGACTCCACCTCCCACTCCGCCAGATTCGACCGCCTTGCTAGCGGCCTCCTACACATTTGGGGAGGATGCGAATGTCGTAAGTTCTCGGTATGCTTGCGAGGACTATGCTGTCCACTTGGTCCCAACGCTGGACCAACCGCTCCACGTGCAACAATCTACCGCATGCACGGTTTCATCACCATCGACAACCGATTCGGCAGCTTCGCCGCCATCTACCGTCGGGGATTCAACGTCATGGTCAAGACTTGAAGAGCTCGACCCGTTGACTTTTGCAGACTTCCAATGGATGCCCCTTCCCCGGTCCGGTCGATTGCCGAAACCGCATTGCAACGTSCTCRAGGCACAATTGCGGGATTACTTGCACACTGCGGTACCAACTCCGTTGATGGACGCCGGAGTAGAGGTTGTTGACCTTCACGCCTACATTGCGAAGATCGACCGCGAGTTCAAGACGCAACGGTACGACGACATCGACGCACCATGGCTATATGTACGCATTCAGATCAGAGAGGCGACCTCCAGCACTTTGATCGATTGCGGAGCATCTCGCAACTACATGAGCCAGGACTTTATGGTACGCGCCAGCCTTGGCCCACGCGTCCGGAGGAAGTCCTGGCCGACGCAAGTCACGTTGGCGGACGGTCACACGCACAAGTCAATAGACCGGTGCATTGATGACGTCCCCGTGTACTTTGCCCCGCACGCGAGCGAGGCGGTGTCCTTCGATATTTTGGACACCAAATTCGACATGATCTTGGGCATGTCATGGCTGCGAAGCGAGGATCACCCGGTGAACTTCTACCGCCGCACCGTTCACGTTCGTGATTGGAACGGAGTACTAGTCCCATGCACGGTAGCTCCTCCTCACCCTTCAATCAGCTGTCACGCGGTGTCCGCCGCAAGCATGCGAGCTTCCGTCATCATAGACGACATCGAGGAGATGGGGGTGTGTTTTCTCCACCTCCCGCCCCATCATGCTTCACCGATGGACCCATCTTTGGATTCACGCATCACCGAGCTTCTCGATGCCTACGGCGACGTGTTCGAAGGCCCGCACGGAGTAATACCGGATCGGCTCATCCGCCACGAGATCATCCTCGAGGACGGGGCCGTACCTCCACGTGGTTGCATCTACCGAATGAGCGAGGAAGAGTTAAGTGTGCTTCGGGCACAACTCGACGACCTTCTGGAGAAAGGCTGGATTCGGCCTAGCTCATCGCCATACGGTGCGCCTGTTCTCTTCGTCCGGAAGAAGAACAAGGATTTGCGGTTGTGCATCGATTATGGCAAGCTCAACGCGCAGACGATCAGAAACGTCGGCCCTCTCCCACGCATCGACGACCTTCTCGAACGAATGGGCGGCGCCAAGTTCTTCTCCAAGCTGGACCTCAAGTCGGGATATCACCAACTCAAGATTCGGAAGGAGGACCGCTACAAGACCGCGTTTAAGACGCGATATGGGCATTTCGAATGGCTGGTTATGCCATTTGGCCTTACGAATGCCCCGACCACTTTCCAAGCGGCTATGACAACGGAGTTTCAACACATGCTGGATCGATTCGTACTTATCTACCTCGACGGCATCCTGGTGTACAGCCGGAGTTTGGAGGAGCATGTGGAACACCTGCGCACTGTTTTGGAGCGGCTACGACAAGCCAAGTACAAAGCCAACCGCGACAAATACAAATTCGCGCGGCAGGAGCTGGAGTACTTGGGACATTATGTGATGCCGCAAGGCATCCGTCCGCTTGCGGACAAGATCGAGGCCCTCCGCGTATGGCTAGAGCCCACCAACACCACGGACGTTCGTTCATTCATGGGGTTGGCGGGCTACTATCAGCGATTCATCATCGGATACTCAAGGATTGCTGCACCTATGACGAGATTACAATCGCCAAAGGTGCCATTCGTATTCGATGACGACGCAGACCGGTCATTCCAAGCACTCAAGACGGCCATGCTCATGGCACCCGTCCTTAGCATCTATGACCCCACCCTGCCAACAAGAGTGACTACGGACGCTTCCGGCTATGGCATTGGGGCAGTCTTGGAATAGCACGACGGCGACGACTGGCACCCTGCGGAGTATTTCAGCCACAAAGTGCCTCCCATCAACTCGCTTGATGATGCAAGGAAGAAGGAGCTGCTCGCGTTCGTGATGGCTCTCAGGCGATGGGGACACTTCCTCCTCGTGCGTCGTAGGTTCACATGGGTTACGGACAACAACCCACTGATATACTACAAGACGCAGGATACGGTGAGCAGCATGATCGGACGATGGATGTACTTCATCGACCAATTTGACTTCACACCGAAACATCTTCCCGACCTCTCCAATCGCGCAGCAAATGCACTCTCGCGAAGACCTAATCTTTGCGCTATGACACATCATGCCTTCGCATTCGACGAGGAGCTCCAGCGACACTTCATCAGGGGCTATGAGTCCGATCCAGACTTTGCCACGCTATATGCGCAGCTATCTTCGGATCACCCGCCGGCCAGCCACTATCGCATCGCCGATGGGTACTTGCTCCTGCACTCGCGGGGCAAGGACTTACTATGTGTCCCACGCGACCACCGTCTTCGGACTCACCTCCTCGGCGAGTATCATGATTCGCGACTCGCCGGCCATTTCGGAGTCAACCGCACTATTGCACGACTTCGACAGCGATTCCGATGGTCTGACCTCATCACCGACGTCACGAGGTAGTGCGACTCGTGCGAAGTTTGCCGACGAAGCAAACCCCGCAACCGCAACCCCTGCGGCGAGCTGCGCCCGATGCCGATCCCGCAGGAACCCGGTCTCTCCATTGCCATGGATGTCGCCGGACCATTCCCCCGCGACCGATTGAGTAAGTACGCACGTTTTCTCCCTTGCAAGTACTACTCCACGGCTCCCGAGCTGGCACGCCTCTTGCACACCGGTTGGATTTGTGGNAAGTACGCACGTTTTCTCCCTTGCAAGTACTACTCCACGGCTCCCGAGCTGGCACGCCTCTTGCACACCGGTTGGATTTGTGGCCACGGTGTACCAGAAGACATAGTCAGCGACCGCGACACACGCTTTATGTCGGCATTTTGGACTGCTCTCATGCGGGAGTCCTGCACAAAGATGAAACCAAGTTCGGCTCGGCATCCACAGACGGACGAGCAAACGGAGCGGGCACATCAAACCGCTCAAATGATGCTTCGTACGCTCATCTGTCCGGACCAGAAAGATTGGGTTGACCGCCTCCCCGACATCGAGTTCGCCTACAACACTTCGGTGCACCCGGCGATCGGCGTGACTCCATTTGAGTTGCACCACGGTGGACGGAAAGGCCATATCTTCGCCGACCTTCTCCTCCCACGACCAGCCGACATCGACGCCGCTTGCTCTCCCGCTTCCGTCTGAAAGTACAGGGAATTGCTGGCTCAAGCCCGCGCGAACATGCAAAAGGCTCAAGTCCGCATGCAGCAGCAAGCCAACAGGCGTCGCGTGCCATGTCCCATCCGCGCCGGTGATCTGGTTTGGGTCTCCGTGGAAGAGTTTGCACTGGAACAGGATGTTTCACGCAAACTGCTTCCCAAGTGGTTTGGACCATGGCCCGTAACATCAGCCGCGGTCGATGAGCCCGATGGCCCTTCATTTGTGATCAACATCCCGGCGCATCTGACGGTCCATCCAGTCTTTCACGCCTCGAAGCTGGCAACATATACACCAGCTAAGAGCGACGACTTCCCAGGCCGACGATCGCAGGACCCTCCATCTATGGATGGTCGTCAAGAGGTTGACCGCGTCATCACGGATCGCAAGTACGGCAACAAGCCTCACCAGTACAAAGTTACATTCAGAGCATGCGATCCCGACGACACTCGGTGGATTTCAGGAACAGATTTGAAAGCATCTGCATCGCTGATCTACACTCACTACGAGCGACAGAGGTTAGCTCAGGGACCTTCACGACCTGCCCCTCCCACCCGGACTGTGGTCCCTCCCTCAGACAGACAGCTTCGCCCTCGCAGGTAAGCT